CCGAGTAGTGTTTTGATGGCAGAATAGTAATAGAAGTGTAAATACGTAGTTTAAGGGCTAATTAATTTCTCGGAATGTGTCCAGCTTCTAAAGGTTTGTGATATACACTTCTAGATTCATTTACGAACAAGATTGGTTGCTGCATACTTAACACCTAATCTCATTGTTCGATATCTCCAGAAAATCAAATGAAATCTTCCTAGGCCAATAATTTTATATCGACTTCAAGTATTAGGCAAATGTGGGAAAACCCATCTGTCAAAACCAACGGCGACCACCACGACCGACACTACTTCTCTGACTTCCATCGTCACTGAGACCACCTCCAATGACTCACCGCCTGCTGCTTAGATTATCATCGCTCTTTCCACTAAGAATGGGGACTTGATGATAACCTTCCCTCATTGCGGTTGAACCTTCAACTCACACATCGGCTTTGTCGGTCACTTTCTAATCCATGACACAGAGAATGACGAACATGTGCTGGGAGCACCAGCACACAGCAGAGACTGCCGCCTTTACCGCTCTCACTGTCCTCACGCATCCTATTATCGCGTGAGTCTATTCGCTCCCATGTACATCCATGGCAGCCTCATCTACTGCAATGCCGACACAGCTAAAAAAATTTGCAAACCTATCCCTAATTTCCCCATCAACGCGACTTCCAACAGCAACAGCAACAACGCTACCATCGCCAACCGAGCATCTCCCGACCCATCCTATACTCACCGCAACCGCACCTTCACCTCAAACACCGACCTGGTCGATCCTTTGCGAATCTAACGCCCAGAGATTTAATAAACAGTGTGCGTGTGTGTTCAACCATCGATTTCGATTAAGCCCACCAAGTGCACCAACAGGTTGGTACAGATAGTGACGGTCTCAGGGGTTAGCTTTAAAGTGATGGAGGACGTAGTTAGTGGCTCCGCACGCTTCACGTTCTCCCGGAGCCTCGAAGACGAAACGGGGTCCGGCGTAGGCTGCTTTATCAAACGTAAGCCGAAACACTGCTCACTTATTCTTAAGTGACAATAGACTTTGCGCGGGTGCTACTGTACTGTCTACGCTCACTCACCTATAAGAGGTGTCTAGCCAGACTCTAGGAAGCCAGAGCTGGTACTGCTACTAGCACTACTGCTATTTATAATACTACTAACTAGGGTGCAGCTGAGTGATAGTATTTGCTGGAACTGTTACTCACTGTATTTAAAGTCAGAAGTCACGCTGGTTCAAGTCAGCACTGGGCTCATAGCCCCTCATTCTCAACGGGAAAAGGTGCTAGCACTGGTGCTACCATTTGTCGGATGTGACACTGATTCAGCCACGCTAGGGCAGTGAATCTTGGCTTCAACTATTCCGAAGAAGTACATGTTTGGGGCCCTGAGCACAGCAGAACTTGCCTTGATTTCCACTCTCTCAACTCTATCCATCAGACTGTAATCGTTTCTACTTGGTTCGGACTACGATACTACTGCTTCAGGTACGGGCCTATGCTAAAGTGCTAAATCTATTAACCATACTTACTAAGGCCAGTAAATAGTAGGCCTGTGTGTTTTTTTTAGAAAACCGCACCCAGTAGGCACTCCACATCTGTGTGAGGTAAAGTGATTAACATTTTGGTAGTAATAAAGCGTTTGTAAATAATGCACAAGTCATAATATGCTAGCGATAGTCATTCAAGCATCTCAGCTACCAGCCTTTAGTTGCGTCTTGTTAGAACACGTGCGGACGCGAAATCGGGATCGTAGTTTACCGGGTCGTGTCTTGACTATCTACAGTATTTAGTTTTGCTCAGAATTTACAGCGCATCATCTGTCTATTAGGAAGCATACTTCTCCACAATAAGCTAGTCATGAAAGCTTAGGACTTCCTATAACAGTATTAGAGGTTCAGTAATAAGACATGTATCCTACATGCGCTACAAGTACGGTAATAGAGGACAGCGGTGTTGCTGAGACTGCAGTAGGCTAAAAGCTTAGACTAGGCCTGCTACACTATAAAAGCTAAGCAAATCTAAGTAAGAGACTGGACTGCATTAACTAAGAGATACATTTGTGAGCTAAACTGAGTAATGAAGGTGCAGCCAGCTAGATTTTAATGTAAGCTAGATTAGAATTATGTGTAGCTAATGAAGCAAATTTACTGCTGCGGCTAGGAGGAATATGCTAGAATAAAAGAATTAAAAATAAAAGAACTTACACACGTCCTAGGCTTCATCCGGGATGAATAATAAGACATCCAAAGAGACTTCACGTCCGCGAGACAGGTGCGACAGTACCCGGGTCCCGACATACAATCGTCGTATCCGAATTTACTGTTCGCAACGGTCAGACACCTTAACTCCCCCCACTGGCCTATTTAGTCGCATGTGCCTCCTAGAAGATCCGCGATAAATTACCACAGGTCCTCCACATCATCACACAATCTCCATCAACGCATGCATTACACATGCAATTCCCAGCACCACCCAACATCGGCATTTCCAACGTAAGTGACAACTATGTTCTCGGGCTCTGCTTCCTGTGGCTTTTCATCTACACACGAAATCTATGCCACGCACCGTGCTGATCTATGACACTCCTTAGTAAGCGTAGGTTCTGATCAGATGATATATGACAGGTGCAGTGGACTGCAGACCCAGGCCTTGAAAGTTCAAATCTGAACCGATGTCCTTTTATTGTTGAGGAAAATTTGGGTCCACTATAGGCTGTGAATATATATTGCATGATAGGGTTGTTTCGCACGGAGACCCAGGTTGTGTGTGCTGGGACAAAAGCTACCAGCCCCTTGTTGTGTTAAAATCGCGGTCAAGTGCAGGTGAAAGACTACAATTGTGTGAACTGCAAGTAACTTGAATCATGGTTTACGGGCTCTCAGTCTATAAACAAATGCAATGAACTTGTGTGATGTGAAGTAGTCTATTCAGGAATCTACGATAGAAGCTCCCAACATTTACAAACTAGTAAATAAGAACAAAGACGTTGGCAACCAAAACAACGTGGTTTTTATCGTCTTATTGGAAGTTGTGGCAAATTATTAAGAAGGCCTGTTTAATCTTGAACTTGAGCCCGACTGCACAAAATCATAATTTCTGTTCTCCAACGTGGACTATTTGGATTCTGATACCATTTCGCCAGTACTGTT